TTCCCTACAATAAAAGACACATCTTATATCACATACAAAACAACACTGGAGCATACATATATATATATATATATATAAAAGAAGAAGATTGTCAATTGTGTGGTGGTGTAATGGCAGGAGTATTCTACTGTGGGGCACCGGCATTGACGAAAGAGCTAAGGCACTTAGCTCTGGATTTCTCCCACAAGACCTCCACCAAATTCTCTTTCCACAAAGAGAACTTCTAATTCCATTTATTTATTTATTTTAGAAAAAGAAGTGAATAGCTCAACTATTTACATATATCATAGAAGGCTCTGTCACTGAATGACAAAGTTTTCAATTGTTATGTCCCGTATGAACGGTGTATAGAATTCACTGTTACAGAACCAAACAGTTCATTGGTCACAAACATCAAAAGAAACACTCACAAAAAGAGTTGCAAAACCATTTACTGCATAGGAGGGACACAGTTAAAAAATAAATCATAGTTCATGTTGGGATGTACATTCAAACTGAATCATCTCAGAGTTCTTCACGGTATGTATCTCCGGATGCTAACTTCCTCGATGCATTCTTGACATATTCTTGATGGATCCCGAGCACGCCTCCGATGGTCATAACGCCCGGATTCTGGCTATTGAGAAAGGAGAAAGTGGTGGCAAGCTCAAATCCAGAGTTCAAGCAGTAATGGAGGAGACCCTTTGGGAAGAGGAAGACTTCTCCTTTCTTCAGAACCCTCTGGAAGATCTTGTTCTGCGTGTCGATGAATCCAACGAGCACGATTCCTCTGTGCACGAAAAGGATCTCGGAGGATCTCGGATGGGAATGTGGAGGCACCGATCCGTCGATCTCGAGGTCTGTTCGGGCAAGAGACAGTCCCATTGTGTTCAGACCAGGAAACTCTGACGCCGTCAGCATTGTCACGTTCGACTGCAGGAAATTGTCCATGTCTCCTGCCTCTCTCAGCCCCGTGGACTTGAAATCTTGAGCGGTGATCTTGCTCGTGTTCTTGCAAGGGAAGCCGTTGATGAAGACACGTTCTTGTTCCGGGGCTTTCGGGCAAGTGTCCTGCAGGTTGTCTGGATCTGCAGAGACGTCAGCTACGCTGAAAGAGAAGATTACCCAGAAAGCGATCACGAAGAACTTCATCATCGTCGGCTTCTCTCCCTCTTTGCCCAGTTGCCGAAGCTGGTGATGTTTCTGTATGTATATATAAAGAGACAAAATTGGCTTAGAGTTCACTACTGCTTTTTGGACCAAAAAATTGCTTCGAAGAAAGATAAAGTATTCTAACTATTTCTTCATATATATATATATATATACTGATGTTAACGTTACTTATTATGCCCTGATTCCATATTCATTTTTATTACCTGAAAAGGTTCAGTTCCTTGCCATTACAGGAAAGGAAAATGAGCTCCAATGGCGGCTCCTCTGCCGTGGGAATCACATTTAACGGTTCAGTTCTATAAAAACAAACTTTATCAGAACCAATATGCTCAGGACAAAACATATAAATGCCAAAAAAGGAAAAAGAAAACCAATACATAATTTTGCATTGGAAAAAAAAACAAATAAAGATAACGTGAACCGGACAGGCTTGCCCCTAAACCGGAATTTGATATAATGTGCTAAACCTCATTCGCTCCTTCGAAATTGATCGCCGTCTCTTGCGTCAATTTTCGCCGGTGGGCTCTTCGCTTTCGGGCTTTCCTCTTCTTCTTCTCCGGCTTTATCTTGACTCAGGTAGGGTTTTTTGAATCCTTTTCTGCAATTTCGACGGTTACTTTCTGTTTCTTTTCTCCTGGGATTTCTAGGAGTTACAAATTCGAGTACTTGGGTTTATGCCGATTTTCCGTAAATGTTTGATCTTTTGTATTTTTCAGGAACCATTTTTGTCTCTTCCCGTAAATGTTTGAAGCTTCCCTTGCGGTTGGCTCTTCTGTGATAGAATGGCTCGTCTCAGAAACGTAAGTGAAAAACTGCTTCTTGTTTCGGCCTCAGTCCGAAATCTGTTCTTTTTCCGGTGAAAATTTTGGTCTGGCATCCATTGTTACTTGGAGTATCGCTTGTTCAGAAGTTTCCTTCGTTTGCTGCTTAACACTTGACTGATAAAGAAGAATACGAAGAAGAAGGTCTCTGTGAAGCCTATTGCGAAGAAAAACCAACCAATAGTTGACCATGTCACCGGGGACAAGATTCCAAAGAGTTTTGTGTTTTCGAGAGGGAAATTGCCCGGTTCCATGAAGCAACTGCAGATGGATTTGAGGAAACCATGCTCCCGTTCACTGCTCTCAACCTCAAGCTCTAGAATTTGCCCTTTGCATAAGTTTGTTAATTGGGAAAATTCCTTGCTCAGACTAATTTCTGCAATTCTCGATCTTTATAGTTTATAGTGTGTACCCTAGAGGCCTTGCCTTCACAAGAAAGCCTTTGTAAGGTCCGCTGGGAATTTGAAGATATTGAACTCGATACTTCATTGGTAACCAGTTGTAGGAAAACTGTACATGAATGCTTTCTTCTAGATATGAACAGTTAGTGCTGCATGTATGCAGCCAAAGCCCCATTGGCATTGTGAGACATCATGTGTAGGGGACTTTGGTTTTGCTTTTATAGTGATGTACATGGTTATATTTGCCTCGAGAAATATCGCATCTCCTCGTTGATTATAATGTGGTGGTTTGTTTCGTGGAATATACTTGGTTCAAGCTAGCAAAGTTGGAGGACAATTGATTTAGCTCGAGATTGCTGATGTAATCTCATTCTTTTTTCCCCCTGACTTTTGCAGGAGAAGAAGCGGAACAATCTGAAGGACTTTTTAAATATTGCAGGTCCAATGGGTGTGACCCATTTCCTTATACTGTCTAAAACAGAGTCCGCTCCGTATCTAAGAGTAGCAAGGACACCACAGGGCCCAACTCTCACTTTCAGTATTCATGAATATGCATTGGCATCTGATGTAGCTCAGTCTCAGTTGCGGCCGAGATGCCCTCAAGATTTTTTCAAGAATCCTCCTCTGGTGATTTAGATCTGTCTCTCCTCTTGTGTGTTGTGTATAAATTTTGTAGTCTTGTAAGCAAGCTAATTTCGGTTGCTATGTCTTAATGCTCTTTTAATTGTCAGATTGTCCTCTCGGGTTTTGGTGGTGGAGAACAGCATCTGAAGCTCACAACCATTATGTTTCAGAACATATTCCCATCCATAGATGTTAACACTGTAAGTTGGGGTCGGGGAAGGACATGATATGATATTCACATTAATCAAATTGTGTAAAAGTTATTCCTCCCTTGTAATGCTATTTTTGGATGTGAATGTCAGGTCAAACTCTCTTCATGCCAGAGAATAGTACTACTGAACTACAACAAAGAGACAAAACTTATCGATTTCAGACATTATTCCATAAGACTTCAACCTGTGGGAGTGTCTCGAAGGATCAGAAAACCATCAAGTCCCAGATCTCAGGAACTTGCAGGATGTCAGTGACTTTGTCACAAAGTCAGGATCTTTCTTCTCACTAGCATTTGTCTGATCTCTTTCCATCGTTCTTTGTGTTTGATATCCATCAGCTGTGGTTTGGTAAGAACTGGGTATGGATCAGAGAGCGAAGCAGATGAAGAAGCGGCGGCAGTGATGCTAAATAGTGACATGGGCAGAGTCAACCGAGCGTCAACGAAAAGCGCTGTGAAACTGCAGGAGATTGGACCCAGAATGACTCTGCAACTCACCAAGGTCGAGGAAGGGTTGTGTTCTGGAGGAGCTATATTTAGCGAATTCGGTATGTTCAGTTCAACCCCTTGCCTAACCTTTGCACCTAATCTCTAATGAATGACCCTCCATATGTGGAATCACTATCTGTTTGTTCAGGGAATGTGAATGACAAGAAGCCAGAGGAAGAAGAAGAAGAAGATGCTGAGGATGAGGAAGTGTTATAGAGGTCAGAAACGAGGATATGTCAAATTTTGTTTACGTTGACATTAGCAATTACATACCTCATCATGGACTATTTTTTTTTCTTCTTCTGAAAATAGACCCCATATTTTTATAATTATCAGAACAGCCCCTATATGCAAGCCCCCTCTCATCCAAAACTTGTTTTGATTAATTTTGTGTTAAGAATGGGATTCAATCTCTATAATACTAAAATGGGTATTAACGAATTCAAGAAAATATTAAATAAATCTATTAAAATAAAAATATCGTTTTAAATATTGTGTTTGTGGCACGATCACATGGGAGGTTTTAAGGTTGTCTAAACGTGACGAATTGTGTGATCCACGAGATATAATTATATGGAAGACTTTTTTCCCCATAAGCGTTAAATCATTTAATAAAATAATGTCATTGTAATTACGTGTGATTTTGTTCGTTTCTTTACATAATTACTCTCGGCCTAATTAATACGTCTCCTAATAAATCCAAGCCCATTAAATGCTATAAATTTTCTTACTAATGGAACAAAAATAAAGATAACTTATCAAATAAACATGGATCATTCCATGACCTAATGATGTTACATCCTCATCTACAACTTTGATTTTTGGCTATGTGATATATGCCTTTTTTTATCTATAAATTATTTACTGACACACAAAAATAAAAGGTTGAATATAACTTAAAATATCTAAATTCCAAATAATTTGTCTTTTCGTACACTTTATTCCTAAATTTAGATCATCATTACGATATAGGGTTGATTTCAATATCATAAAAGTGGATCAAAATTTATTACTTAACGTTTTGGTCGGTTAAAAATACGTGAGTTTATAAATTAATTGCACCAAGAATAGGCCGTACATTAATAGAAAATCTATTTTTTTCTTTTGGGTTTTTAAAATTTTTATTGTTCGAAATTCTTTTATTTCACACTTACTAATTATTTATTATGTTTTAAAGGAAATAGCAACATGGAGGACCTTTATGCAAAATTAGATAACTATAGGGCTTGATATCTGATTTACCAGTTTAACTCAGTGTGAAACAGACAAACCTATTTTCTACAAAACAATATCTAAACTATAGAATGGCAAATCATGTAATATCTTTGAATCCCAGGGGCAGATACACATAGCTCATATCTCCCCATTCGCTCTCTCTTGTTTATATTTCTTCGCCTTCTTGTGCACCGTCTCCGAGCTCTCTACATCTTGAGATCCGCCGTATTCTTCTCTGTCCCACAATTTCTCTCTCTTTGTCCTTCTCTTGTTCAATCTCAGATTGAACCAGAGAGAGAACAAGAGATATTTTTTCCTTTTTGTTCGTTCCCAGATCTAGTAATTTACGAATAATCCAGGTATGTTCATCGGAATCATCGAGGAATTTTTGTAGATCTATCCGTTTATTGATCCGATTCTGGTCCGGGTTTCGCGTATTTCGATCTTACGTTGAATTTGCTTGCGTTGTTACGTTGGAAACGTTATTTTGATTGGCTCGATCTAACTCCGGTGTCGATCGAGGCTAACATACGATTTCTGGTTATATTGAGGATCAATTATGCTACTTCTCCGCCGATGCATGTGGTTTTTTTTTTGGGGTGATTCTCATGTTTTTCTGATAATTCGATTGCAAATCCGCGTACCGATCCACGGAATTGGGAAGCTTTCTGTCCGTACTTTTGATCATCTGACCAGGCAAAATCGAATTCTGATGAAATGGGTACCAATGCACCATGTTGAAAAGCAAGCAAACTTGAGTAATCTTACTTCCCCGCGTCGGTGATTTGTGGTGCAGATCTTAGCCAGTCATCATGGCGTCTGTGGCTGCGACTGAGAACAAGTGGCTCAGAGGGAGAGTGAAGGCTGTGACCTCTGGGGACTGCTTGGTGGTCACGGCTTTGAGCCACAACAAGCCCGGCCCTCCACCGGAAAAGACCATCACTTTATCTTCTCTCATCGCTCCTAAGCTGGTAAGCTTAATCAAGTCATTCTACTTCCGCAATTATGAAGTATTTTGTTTTGAGGTTTTGGGAGGGGCATCCTATTTATGTTCAGCTAGCAATAGCAATAACTGCTGTTATTACCTGCTTCGGACCATATTTTGGTCTTCTATTTTTTACCATATCTAAAAACCATTAGGGGAATTTCATGATTTATGTCAGAATGAGCTTCCTTATCGTTTGACTTCTTATTTTTTCAGGCTCGCAGGGGAGGTTTAGATGAACCTTTTGCATGGGAAAGCAAGGAGTTTCTGAGGAAACTTTGCATAGGAAAGGTGCTAAGTAAAAAAAAAAATAGACTTTTGATCCTTATGGCAATAGGTGGACGCTTGTTCTTTATCTGGATGATATGTTTCTTGAGCAGGAGGTTGTATTCAAAGTTGATTACAAAGTGGAAGCTATTGCTGGTAGAGAATTTGGCTCTGTTTTCCTTGGCAATGAAAATGTTGCCATGCTTGTTGTTACTGCTGGCTGGGCAAAGGTTAAATGTTGTCAATTCCCCTACATTCTGAAATCTAAGTTTTAATGGTCGTAACACTATTTTCTGATTTGGTTGAGGATTGGCTGTGTAATGACAGGTCAGGGAGCCAGGCCAGCAAAATCAGGATAAGGTCAGTCCTTACATTGCGGAATTGCTACGGCTTGAAGAGCAGGCCAAGCAAGAAGGGCTTGGCCGTTGGAGCAAGGTTGTTTTTCGTCTCTTTTTCTTCTAGGTTCCATCAGTTGAAGCACAAATTTATTCATCTTTATTTGTTGCACATTTGCTGGGACTCAGGAGTCTTAGTGAACCATTGCAGTCTAATCTTCTTGTAGTGGCTGAGAAAAGTAAATGTTATAGAAGAAATTTAAATGTTTATTTCTCAGAGTTCGCTTAAGATTTATGAGTATCTTCCACTTGTTTGGACTTGAAATATTGTGAATTCCTCTGTTTGCTTTCCTGATGAATTTTATGTCATTTCAGATTCCTGGTGCCGGTGAGGCATCTATCAGAAATCTTCCTCCTTCTGCCATCGGGGATGCTGGTAACTTTGATGCGATGGGCCTTTTAGCTGCAAACAAAGGAAAGCCCATGGAGGGTATTGTTGAGCAAGTCCGTGATGGCAGCATGGTTCGAGTCTATCTTCTTCCAGACTTTCAGTTTGTGCAAGTATTTGTTGCTGGAGTTCAGGTACGAAATGTCTGTTCCCTGTTTATACCGTCAGAGGTTGGCACTTCAATATTTTTGTCAAACTGCTTCCGAAATTTAAGATTGCCTTATATTTTGCTCTTTGAATAGGCTCCATCAATGGGAAGGAGACCTGCAGCCGATAGTTTTATTGAGACAGATGTTGCCTCATCTGAGCCGAATGGAGATGTTTCTACGGAACTGCGTGGTCCTCTAACGACAGCCCAGAGACTTGCTGCCTCTGCAGCATCATCGGTTGAGTCTTCTCCTGATCCATTTGCAACGGAAGCCAAGTACTTTACTGAGCTTCGTGTTCTGAGTAGAGACGTAAGGAAATTTCACAACAAATTGGGTTATGTGTTAAGTATATTTTACAAATAGATGAATGTGAGGTGGTTTCTGCAGGTTCGCATTGTTTTGGAAGGCGTTGACAAGTTCAACAATCTGATTGGTTCCGTTCATTACTCTGATGGAGAAACAGTGACGGACTTGGGTTTGGAGCTTGTTGAGAATGTATGTGCTCAACTGGCTTTTGTTTTACACATCAATACTAACAAATTGAACTAATCGAGTGATAACACTGCAACTACAATTTAGTAAAAGTTCATAGTTATGTTGGCAGCTTTCCCTATAGTACATCTCAGACGTGAATTTTACTTGCTGGTGAACGTGATCTTTTATCTTCTTGAATAAAAGGAGTGACATGAATTGATATTCATGATGCACAGGGTCTTGCTAAGTATGTTGAATGGAGTGCTAACATGATGGAAGATGAAGCCAAGAAGAAACTGAAAGCTGCAGAGCTTCAAGCCAAGAAAAACCGGTTAAGAATGTGGACCAACTATGTTCCTCCAGCCACAAACTCAAAGGCAATTCATGACCAGAACTTTACTGGAAAGGTAATGCCTCCAAGTCTAAGGACTTTGGGAAATATATGCCCTTCTTCAACACCTCTTACTATTCTTTTTAAACATGTTCTTAGCTTTTTATCTAACTAGCTTTTACATTTTTTCAGGTAGTAGAGATTGTAAGTGGGGACTGTGTTGTTGTTGCCGATGATTCTATTCCGTACGGGAGCCCATTGGCAGAACGCCGAGTCTGTCTTTCGAGTATCAGGTGTCCTAAAATGGGTAATCCACGAAGAGATGAAAAGCCAGCCCCTTACGCTCGAGAAGCTAGGGAATTTCTGAGACAAAGGCTCATTGGCAAACAAGTAATTCTTCTTTCCTCAATGCCAATTCATAAACTTATGCTGAACTAGTGTCAGCAATGCATGAACTGAATTTTTCTCCTTCCCCAGGTGGTTGTTCAAATGGAATACTCAAGGAAGGTCAGCCCAGCAGATGGTGGTCCTACTACTTCTGGGTCTGGCGATTCTAGGGTCATGGATTTTGGCTCGGTGTTCCTTCCCTCTCTTTCGAAGGGTGATGCTGATGAAACTCCAGCGCCTGCTGCAGCTGCTGCTAGTGGCCAGCAGCCAGGGGCGAATATTGCGGAGCTTGTTGTTGCCCGTGGTTTTGGAACTGTGGTTAGGCACCGAGATTTTGAGGAAAGGTCTAACTACTATGATACTCTTCTGGCTGCTGAGTCCCGTGCTATTTCTGGGAAGAAAGGAATCCATTCTGCAAGGGATTCTCCAGTCATGCACATCACAGATCTTACAACGGTTAGATACACACACACACACCCTGTACTGCGGTTTTTTTATTCTATTTCTATGATTTAATTGTTGAATGATATCATCTCAGGCCTCAGCCAAGAAGGCTAGGGATTTCTTGCCATTCCTGCACCGAAGCAGGAGAATCCCTGCCGTTGTGGAATACGTTCTCAGTGGACATCGGTTTAAGCTTCTGATTCCAAAGGAAACATGCAGCATTGCCTTTTCATTCTCTGGTGTCAGATGTCCTGGTCGTGGCGAACCTTATTCAGACGAAGCAATTGCTTTAATGAGACGAAGGATTATGCAGAGAGATGTTGAGGTAAACAGAACACGATTATTAATGTCTGAGATGTATCTCATTTTTCTTTTTCTACCATGCGGGCTTTACATGTTATCGTATAATACACAGATTGAGGTTGAAACTGTGGATAGAACGGGTACTTTCTTGGGATCATTGTGGGAGTCTCGGACCAATGTGGCAACGGTTCTTCTCGAAGCTGGCCTAGCGAAGATGCAGACCAGCTTCGGTGCAGACAGGATCCCTGAGGCTCATCTTCTCGAACAGGCTGAACGATCTGCTAAAAGCCAGAAACTGAAGGTGAGGAGTAGTAGTTACTAGTTAGTAAGTGTCTTCCTAAGAAAATGCTTTTCTTCAAATCCTAAATGTCAACTTCCTGATCTTTCACAGATTTGGGAAAACTATGTTGAAGGAGAAGTAGTCTCAAATGGTTCTACCACAGAAACCAAGCAGAAGGAAACATTGAAGGTGCACTAACTAATCATAAAATTCTCAGTTGGGTTTTAGTTTACATAGTAAACCCGACCTTTTTTTTTAATTTAAACCCGGTTTTCCTTTCTCTGCAGATTGTTGTTACAGAAGTACTTGGAGGTGGTAAATTCTATGTACAATCAGTTGGTGATCAGAAAGTAACTTCGATTCAGCACCAACTTGCTTCTTTGAATCTCAAAGATGCACCTGTTATTGGGGCTTTCAACCCAAAGAAAGGTGACATTGTCCTTGCACAGTTCAGCCTTGACAAATCCTGGAACCGGGCGATGGTAATTCAAACTTCCAATCATCCTCCGCTTTATTTCGTAATGCTTTCTCCTTCTTCGGTGAATCGCTTAGCATTTTTTGTATATTTTTTCTTGTGGTAAGATTGTAAATGGACCTCGAGGAGCAGTTCAGTCCCCGGATGACAAATTCGAAGTGTTCTACATCGACTACGGGAACCAGGAGATGGTTCCATACAGCGCAATACGCCCAGTGGATCCTTCAGTATCCTCTGCCCCAGGTCTTGCACAGCTCTGCAGACTCGCGTATGTAAAGGTCCCGGGCCTGGAAGAGGACTTTGGCCCGGAAGCAGCCGAGTATCTGAGCAATGTGACACTGGGCAGTGGCAGAGAGTTCAGGGCAATCGTAGAGGAAAGGGACACATCCGGTGGCAAAGTCAAGGGCCAAGGAACTGGAACTGAACTTGCCATCACACTTGTCGCTGTTGACGATGAGCTCTCAGTCAATGCTGCCGTACTTCAGGTCCGTCACTCATCCTTCTCCGATTCTCTTTTCCATGACTCTGTGTCGAGGGTTAATTAATTGTGTGGGGATATTTCGTGGTGTGTCGAGCAGGAAGGGCTTGCGAGGATGGAGAAGCGCAAGAAATGGGAGCCCAAAGACAAATTGGCGGCTCTGGACAGTCTGGAGAAGTTCCAAGAGGAAGCTCGCACCTCTAGGACCGGAATCTGGCAGTACGGTGATATCCAATCGGACGACGAGGATACCGGTCCTGTCAGAAAGCCAGGTGGCGGCGGTGGTCGCCGGTAAGCTCTGTGCCGGAGTGAGAAAAAGAAAAGGTAACTTATGGTAGGAAACCATAACAAGTGATGGGTGGAAAGTGTGATCCTTGAGGTGGGAGGGATCAGCATTTGCCTCTCTCTCGGTCCCACCATGTTTTTGTTTGCATGAAACCTTTGTAACGTTTTAGTTTTTTTTATTTATTTTATTTTTGTTTTTTTATTAGGACACAGTTTCTTGGATCTTATTTTTATTTCTTTCCCCTTCTTCCGAGGACAGAAGAGAAGAGAGTGGTAATAAGGTGCAGGTAACAACGCCTACGGTTATTTTTCAATTTTAGTTCGAACTCTATTTACTTTTTCTTCCAATTTATTTTATTTACTCGTCATCCTTTCTTTTTTTGGATTATTTGTTTTTATAAATTATTGGGCTTGCGTAAGATTTGGGTATCATATGGCTTAAAACAGAATTCGATGTGAAACACTCGGAGGCCCATAAGAGACCTAAACCAATGAACATGGTACATGGTAAATGGGCTGAGTGCGATGTATAATTTGGGCCCAAAATGTATTTGTTCATGGCCCACAGCTCAAATCCTACCCAGGGAGACGACTACTTACCTCTGACTTTCCTTCCCTGAATCACTAATTTACAAGTCATCTTAAACCCTTCTTTCTGACATCGTCGTCGTCCCTCTGATTCTGGTTCGTCGTCACCGTTATCCATTCCCTTTCTTCTTATTAACCAACCGTGAGATTTTTCTCTGTATCCGATCCTGGAGGGGGAGAGAGAGGCGCAAACGATTAGGTGACACCGAGAGAGCGCGTGCTGCCATGCAGAGAGAGCGTTCACATTTCTTGCGACACACGCCACCAGAACCAGCGTTACATTCCTCCTCTGTATTCTGAATTTATACAGAGATTTTCTCTCTCTCTCTAACAGTGTCAACGAAATGGATGTTTGTGATCAGAGATTCATACTTTGGGCTGCGAATTTCATCAACTTGTGATCATCTGAGGGAAAGAAAACGAATCCACAATGGCTCTTACGATCCCATCTGAATATGAATCTAAAAAAACCGGAAAACAACGAACTCCTCTCTTCATCTCTCCTCAAAAGGCCAAACCCCTTCGCATCTCAAAATCATCGCCATCTTTCCTCACTAACCCTCACGTCTCGGTTGCCTCTTCCGCGGGGCTGCTGCTTCTTCCTTTGGCTTTTCCTCGGCCTTCTCCTTCTTCTTTGGGGTCTCTGCTACTTCGGGTTTCTTCTTCTTTTCTACTTTCGCCTACGAAATATACACACCATCATCGAATGGAGTCCAAAGGGTTTCTCTTTGGTTTCCATGCATCAAGGATCTTTGTTTTAAGTTTTCTTACCTTTTTACCACCGAAGATGAGCTTGAATAAGAGCGAGAGGATCACGACCACGACGGAGACAAGGACACCGACGGTTATGTTCGGTTGCTGCTCGGCTTTCGCGATGAATTCCTATGATGTAATAAGATTTCCAGATTTTTCAGTAACGGTTCTTGACAGAGGCGAGGTGATCAAATCCGCAGGGATTAAGAGAGGGAAACCAACTTACAATGATCTTGTCCTTGTGGTCACCGAGGGACGGAATTTCTGCAACCCTGTACAACAGGTCGAACACCTTCTTCTGCAACGATATGAGGATAAACATTGATTATGCATTACTCCATGGGGACAAAAAAAGAAATGTGTGTTCCTGCACAAAAAGTTAACTTACCTGGTAGCTCTTGAGACCATGGAGTCCACCGGCATCTTCTTCCTCGGCCTTTTGCTTCTCTTTCTCGACATCGAACTTGGGTTTCCATCCCGTCTGTCTGTATGTCTCAGCAACCTTCTCGTCCTTGGCAATCAAGATGTTGTCGAACAGGACGCCGTCTTGCATTGTCCATATCTCTATACCAATGGCTGCAATGGGCTCAAAGTCCGGCCTGTCAAGCTCGAAGTAGTTCGGGTTAGGAATCTCCCTCGGTTTCCAGATTCCCTTGTAGGCTGGGTTATCGATGAAAGGGGCACTCCACTTGCCCTTGTATTCAGGGTTCCTCTTCATCGGCCTCTTCCATTCCCCGCAACCAGGAGCTGCCTCACACTTCGGGTTAGTGATCTTAGGAGCTTCCCACTCCCCGTCTTCCTCATCATCCCAGTCTTCAGGCTTGGTTGCCTCAGGATCATCGATCTCTTCCGGCTCATCGTCCAGCCACCCCTCAGGTTTCTCAGCTTCCTCGTCCTCGATCTCCATAGGAGCATCCTCATCCCAGTCATCCGGCTTCACGGCATCGGGATCGGGAATCTTGGCTCTCTCATCCCAATCTTCTGGCTTCTTGTCTTCTGGGTCAGGGATGGTTTTGGGAGGGATCAAAGGAGGGTCAAAGTCTTCAGCAGACAGCAAGTTGGCCTTTTTCTTCTCCTCTCCATCGACCAAAACTCTGACCTCGTTGTCGGGAGTCAAAATGACAGTGTAGACATGGGAAAGCTTGTCGAATGGGACAGAGGGAGGGAACTTAAGATGGTGTTCCACGTATTCACCGCTCTTGGGATTCTTGTGCTTGAGGATGAAATGCACCTTGTTTGTAACCCCGCACTTGTCGGGTCCGAACATGATGGAGTACGGAGATTCGTTATCGAACCCCTGAGGCGTCCATCCGGCTTCTTGAGGACGGAGATATTTCAGGTAAGCGCCTCCACACTCCAGCCCTTCCTGGAAACGAGCCTCGTACTGAAGAACGACGGTTCCGTCCTTGAGGTTCAGTGGCTTATCCAGCTCTTTGACGATTCCGTACTTCCTGGCCTTCTCACTCACCAGAAGCCCATAATCATCATGCCCCTCGCTCTTCCCATGCTTCCAGACACCTGAACGCAAGAATTTTCGAAACTGTCAGCAATCTTCCATTAAAAAGACAAGAAAATATCAAATGATAATACTTAAAACATTTCCTATCCAGCTCCATTATAGAAAGGTGAGAGATGGAAAAGTTTAACCTTCACGTTAAGTTATTCACCAACAAAGCCAAGAGATTTCATACAAACAACAAAGCCAAGATGCTCAGACTACAGAATCGGTCATACATCTGATAGAACTGAAAAGATCATGTCGCCTGCAGAAGCCACTCTCGAACGCAACATCATGGATAACGAGAGACCATAAATGATCAATTCAAGCTTCCATTACTACAAGACAAACATCGTTGTCTACATCCAGTCATCACATCGTTCAGGTAGTACCAACGAGATCCCACTAGAAAACTTAAATGAATCTGTATCCGATGACATAACCTAATTGTTCCCCGCATTTTCATTTACACTGTGGAAAATGCTCAGACAATAGTGACGCCCAATAGAAACAACGACGAACAGTACAGATAAAATCGAAATGGAAAAAAAAAAACTCCCGACATGATTGGTATGGTAAGAAGATCAATCATTACCTTGGTATTCCCCTTTCTCCGAAACGACCCAGCGGCCATCGAACGACTCGTCGAACGGTTCGTAAAAGACCTGATCCATGGCAAACATCAGAACACGGAATCTAAACAAATCAAAGGAATCCTAATGCGATTCACACCAACGGCAATGTCATTACCGTCTGATCGTCACAGAAGCAAAGTTTCTGAAACGAAACGAAGGCTACGAGAAGCAGCAGCGCGAACGTAAGCTTCCTTCCTCTCATCCTCGACGAAAACAACGATCTCAGGATACAACTCCCAAATAAATAAAAAACAGAACCTGTGTTTCTTCATCCTCTTCTTCCAGATGCTTAAATACTGGTTTGGCCGGAGACCAGTCCGAAATTGTCGCCCTCGGTGTTCCCACCAATGAAAACGGGCGCCACGCGGCGATAACCAATCACAATTCGCCACGTCATCTATAACACAGGTATAATACGTGCCGCGTCGTGGTGCACCTTCACACTAAATCTGGATTATGGGCCTTGGCCCATAACGGAATTTGACGTTGGGCCCACAAATGTTTTAACAAATTCTTTGCTCGAGGAAAAAGCAAAACCGGTAACGCAGCGACATATTCATATACACAAAAACGACCATCTAATTATACGCGTTTATATACACAGAAAGGATTATGTCTCTAATTATACGCGTTCATATACGCAAAAAGGAAAATTATACGCATCCATATACACAAAAACCCGGCCATTTAAACTACGAAACGACCCTTCAAATGATCAGTGACCAGCGGCTGCCGGAATTTTCGGATCGACACCGACGTCCTTAAGCGTAACGGCACGAGGCTTATGCGCGAACTGATCCTTCCTGGTAGGATCCGACATGACATCTTGCTTGTCGAATTCCTGCACGTGCGCTATTTTCCTGAACCACGACTTGTCCGCCAACCGGCTCGCCTCGTCCACGATCTTGTCGGGATCCTCGACCTCGGGAAGTGTCTCTCGTGTCTTCTTGCTGATGCGGACACCTGGGTTGTCCCTAAGGTGCAGAGACGCTGTGTACAGACCGAACGAGACCGACAACGCTATCATGCCTAAGGACACGTAGACCGGAACATAGTCTCCCTTCCCGGCAGCGGGCCGCTGGTTGAACTCAGTCGCCGGAGCGTAGGCCTTCGATTTCGGCGCGGTCGAGGTTGTGTACGCTCTCAGTCTCTGAGCCATGCTTTTCAATGTACCCTTACAATACAACGCAAACAATCAACGACAAGTGAGTACGAATACCGACCGGGAGATGGAGAAAACGACACCGTGTCATAGGGCCGGTGGTTTACCGTTGCTCGAGCCGCCATGGCTGTTGTTCTTGCGAAGAAACGTGCAAAATCTGAGGAGCCTTGAGATTCTTTAAGACTCGTCTGGTGAATTTGGGTGATTTGCTTGGATGATTGATTCAGGGACTGGATTCTGCAACTGCGTATATAAGAGTGACGACGGAAAATTCTGGAGTTGGGAAGGGAGCTGTGGAAAGTTAAAGTACACGTGTAAACAGATGAGTGCATGCAAACATGATTGTGGAAGTCTCTTGAAGCAACACGTCAAATCGGGTTCTAAGTATTAATTTAGAACTCACTACAGAAGCAGCTGAGTAAGCTGTATATATATATATATACATATACATATCAAATATATAATATATTATTGCATATGATTATAAAAATATCAAAACTTGGTTCACCTAATAGATAAAAATGGTTGCTTTATGTGCAAGTAGCGTCAAAGTTGCCACTTTTTTCAATCCAAGAACAAGAGACATACATACCTAGGAAGCCTCGAACTGGTGATGTCTGATCCTTTTCTTAACCAAAGTAAATCCCTCGCCGGTCTGAGATTTGCTGGTCATTCCCTGCAACAAAATTCAACAAACAAACCTATCCAACACGACCAAACTACACCCTGTATTCTTCTTCACCTTCTTATCTTCGTCCATAGATTCCCTAACCCTAATCACATCCTCCCACCTCTCTGCATTTGCATACATCTCTGCCATCACCTTATACACCCCTCCATCCTCTGGCTTCAACGCTTTCACTCTCTCTGCCGCCTTTTCTGCAACCTCAATATTTCCATGGATTCTACATCCTCCCAACAAACCGCTCCACACGTATACTTTCTCACGAGTTCCACCATTGTTAGGCATCTCCTTTATCAACTCTGTGGCTTCTTCAATCAAACCAGCTCGTCCAAGCACATCTGCCATACACCCATAATGTTTCAGCTCTCTAGCAACACCATACACTGATTCCATTTCATTGAAAAGCTTCTTGGCATCGTCAACTAGACACCCATGGCTGCAACCCACAAGAACACCCAAGAAGCTGACCGCATCGGGTTTGATTCCCGAGCTAACCATCTTAAAGAAGTAATCTAATGTTAACTCGCCACTGCCGTGCATCGCAAGACCTGTGATCATTGCATTCCACGTGAATAAAGTTTTATCTGAACTCGAACTGAAAATCCCCATTGCTATATCGATGAACCCACATTTTGCATAGAAGTCCACCAACGCAGTAGCTAAAAACGAATCTACAAATATTCTGTTGTTTCTTATATAATCGTGAATCGCCATGCCTTTTTCCAAGCTTCCCGACTGTGCGCATGCCGAAAGAACTGAAACAATCGCGACATTGTCAGGTTCCAGACCCGAAGCAATCATGGCATTGAAGAGTTGAATTGCCTCTCTAAATCGATTCATCTGTGCATACCCGGAAATGAGACTATTCCAAGAAACCAAATCACGAAAAGGCATGGAATCAAATAACTCTCGTGCACGTACAACCTCACGAGCCTTAACGAGCCCATCGATGAGCACGTTGTAAGTGACAACATCTCTGTGGGGACTTATGTCGAACACTTTGACTGCGTCACTCATCTGTCTCACCGATGAGTAAGCCCGGATCAGAGAATTCAGCGTGAACAAATCAGACATAAGCCCGAATCTCAAAGCTTGACAATGAAGCGTCTCAGCTAATGCACGGCTACCGTTCTGGGCACAAACCTTGAAGGCGAAAGGGAAGGTGTGGAAGTCAGGAGGAACAGAACTACGCCGCATCTGGGCAAAGAAGCAGAGAGCGGACAGTGGCGATCCATGGAGTGAATGAATTCTGATGATCGTGTTGAAGCAAAACGTTGATGGGTTTGTGATGAACCTGAAAACCCAAGTCGCGTATCTCATAACCAGACCCGGCGAAGACACCGTCAAATTCAAGCTCGGTGAGATAGACGTAATGGCGAAGAGGATTTTGGTCAAAACAGGAAAGTTAGGGTTCAAATCATGCGAGATTTGGCCGGAAGTGATGATTTGGGCATGAGATTGATGCAGCTGTTTCAAGGTTTTACACAGTTTCAGGAGATTTTCGACGGATGGTTTGAGATTTAGACGATTATGAATTACCATTCCTGGCACAAATTAACCGATACTTGATAGTCTTTCTTCCAATGTATATATTCTCACACCCAAGATTACATGACATAATCTGATAGATTAATCACTTGCGCTAATTTCACGCTTTACGTCATGCAGTTTGGGGTTTAAAAGTAATTTGAAGTATTTGGGATAAAACTATGATATCTCAGAAGTTAAAGGACATTTTGTGTAAATGTTTAAAAACCGTCCAAAGATCCAACGGCTGATGATGCATCTCCTATACGTCATCGTCGTAGATCGATCGACACAACGAGAGCCGGCGGAGGAGGACGGCGATGACGAACAAGGAGAAAGCGCGAGAGAGGAGAGAGAAGAGGTTGCAGGAGATCTCTCTCCTTCGCACACTTCCATATTCCGACCAGCAGAGGTATCATCAATCTCATCGATTGTTTAATTTCGGGATCAATCGCGGTTTCTTCTGCCAGAATCTCGTGTTCAGTGTGCTTGTTGTTAGTTGGATCGTCGTCGTTTCCCTTTGAATGTTTTTGGGCACTATCCACTTTCCGATTGCAACAATCGGAGACTGGAGCCGGTCTGAATTAATCTCTGGGTTTTCGGAAGAAATGTTCATTGTTTTGCCCTTGTATGGATTAAAAAATTGGAATTTGAAGATGCGGCAAAGCATATCGTCTTCTTCGTTCTTCGTTTTTTTTATGAATTGAACTGCTTTATCTATCTTCCCCTACTGGTGTAAGTCGTTCTTCTAAGATGATTTCAACAATTTTGATGAGCTAACTTGTCTGTTTGTGTTCCTGTCATTCTCAAGCAGACAACATGCACGGCTATATGTTCCATAGATGGGATTTGATTCGTTTGGACATAAATGAATACTGGGTTCCTCTTCAAATGACTATGTTTTTGGTCTCATCTTTGTACATTCTGGTTGTGTTCCTCCTCAATTGTGTAACGTTCAATACTTGTAGATGGTGGTCTTCTGAAAACATAGCAGTGGTGACTGGTGCAAACAGAGGGATAGGTTTTGAAATCGCGAGACAGCTCGCAGGACAGGGACTGACGGTTGTTCTTACAGCCAGAAATGCAGAAACTGGCCTTGAAGCTGCTAAAGTCTTGCAGAACGAGTGTCTGAAGGTGGAATTCCATCAGTTAGATGTCACTGACTCCTCGTCCATCAGAGAGTTTGGACAGTGGATTAAAGAAACATTCGGAGGGTTGGATGTTCTTGTAAGAAGAAAACATTCCTCGGGATTCTTTTTTGTTTACTTGAACTGTTATTCGATGTGACTTGTATATGTTGCAGGTAAATAATGCGGGAGTTAACTACAATCTTGGATCAGATAATTCCGTCGAGTTTGCCCAGACCGTCGTGGCTACTAACTACTACGGGACTAAAAACATGACCGAAGCTATGATACCACTGATGAGACTGTCCCGTCAAGGTACTCGTATCGTGAATGTGAGCTCTCGGCTGGGTAGACTCAATGGACGTCGAAACGTACGTAAACTCTCTCTATGTCTTATTACTACAAGCTTCATATCCCGTTTCGTGATCATATTAGCTTGATGCAGAGAATAGCGAATTCAGCGTTAAGAGAAGCTCTGGCAAATCCCGACACGCTGACAGAGGAACTCATAGATGACACTGTCTCGTCATTCCTCAACCAAGTCGAAGATGGAACGTGGGAATCAGGCGGGTGGCCGCAAACGTTTACGGACTATTCCGTGTCGAAGCTTGCGGTCAATGCCTACACGAGAGTAAAGGCAAAGGAACTGTCTGAAAGGCCCGAAGGCGAGAAGGTATACGTCAGTTGTTTCTGTCCGGGCTGGGTGAAAACGGCGATGACGGGCTATGAGGGAAATATGTCGGCTGAAGATGCAGCAGACACGGGAGTTTGGCTTGCCTTGTTGCTTTCCGACCATGCAGTGACCGGAAAATTCTTTGCTGAGAGACGTGAGATTAACTTCTGATGTTTTCAAGCTTTGCAAAATGAAACAACCTCACTGTGCCTTGTTTTTTTATTGGTGTCGCTTATTTCTTTATGCGTTGGTCCTCAAAATACAAAATTTTTCATAACCAGGATGTGTATCAAAAAAAAATTCTTACGTTATTGTCTCTATATAATTCATTTTAAAAAAAAAATCTTATAATCAATATAAAATTTTAATAAATTTAAACTTTTAGATCATCTGTCAACAACCGACCTTAGCTCAGTTGGTAGAGCGGAGGACTGTAGTCGATGCAGATGATCCTTAGGTCGCTGGTTCGAATCCGGCAGGTCGGAAGTTATTTTTGTTAAGGGACCATCTCTTAGATTTTTTTTTTTTTTTTTTTTTTTTGGCTAT